TCAGTGCTCATGGAACAAAAACCGGAATTTCATTTCCATATCCGAAGTCCTTCTGTCAAAATATTTCATTTATATGAAGGGCTAAGTTCTGCCCAACAATGAAGATGTCTCTGTGCCAAGGATTGCGTGGTTTCATTTGCCACCTACCACACGCAGGCATTGATGAACGCAAACACACGATTTTGGTTGATAAAAACTGCAATAGAACGAGTGGCAATAGACACCTCTAGAGTGATAGTTTTTGCAAGGCTGCTAAGGTATTAGTCTCAAGTGGAGTGTAATTAAAAAAAAACAATGTCTACATTCACCCGATTTCTTATGATACAACTTGAATCGAAAAACCATAAATAAATGGGTCACGTGCTCAGCGAGTGAGAAGGGAAAACGAGTACAGGAAGACAGCGTTTTATTCGTAAAATCAAAGTAGAAAATCGACTTGACAAACATCAATAGAGCAACAGAGCATCAACTTCGTGGCGCGTTGCATAATCCAAGGAATGTATGTTTAGCCCCCATTGAGTATCGGCCAACTGTTCGAATGGGGTTAATACCGGTGGGGTGGGGGAGAGAGACAAGAGACAAGAGAGGTTCAGAAAGATGAAACCACGGATTAAAGAGAACATTGGATGGATGACAAAGGGAAGTAAATGTTCAGACATGGCTCACAGAGATGGTCATCATTCATGAACCACTTAAGGCATACATTCGCCCAACAAAGTTGCAATACTGTTATTTGCATTGAATGAACAATGACGATAAGATATTGCAATAACCGGGAATACGGACAACAGGCAACAGTTAAATATGTGGTAGTTAAACGGTGACGTAATAGTCCGACTTCTTTCTTCACCTTGTCTCATGGATGAAATTTTGATCGCATACCATACCGGTAGAAAAATGATATCTAATCAGGTTCAAGTGAGAACAGACAAAGATACATCGCAGTGTTTGTACAAGAGAAAAGGTATCGTTCATCCACTCACGAGAAATTAACAAGGAGGAATTTAGAATAATCATGCATGCAGCATCCGATGGACAGACTCAGCGATAGCATTTACAAGTTCCTCAAAAGCACCCAAGGACCACACCAGTAGGGTAGGTAAAGGGATGGTGAAAATCGCGGAGTCGATAGCCATCCGGATTATGAAGTCAGAGCTGCGCAAATTGCGTAATCTGTTTCGAGCGCCGCTACTACTATGAACATGAGAGCGATTATCCCGTCCTATCCCACTAAAGATCCTTTCTATTTTAACCCACCTTATTTACTGACTTACTTCCCAGTGTTACGTTTGTTTTATCCATACTCGCTTAACACCACATGGTAGGCCAATTCTACATCTTTCACTTTGTTTTGCCCTATTCATTTCTTGTGACTTCATGTCTCTATTAATCAGTCTGATATTTTTCGCATGCTCGCACAAAAGTAATCAACTAAACACAGATAGGCCAATTAACAATTTATTGAATACTAAAACTATATATGTAACATATGTTAATTTATTTATATATGATATCTTGAATGTTCCGTAGAGAAGTAATATCGTGTTTCTGCCGTGTTTAACCAAGTATACGTGGGCACTTGTCCCTTAATGAGTAAAATCGTTAATTTAGATTGACATGTAAGCATATGCTAGTGATTAGAGTACGTGGAAACAGAAAATGGACGCGCACAAGAAGGAGTGAAGCTACGCAGAAGTAGGACGATGATGGATGAATCCGCATACATTACTCATAAATAGATCAATACACTCTTGTCGTAAAGCACCTATTATAAAAAAACACGATACAAGAATAGTACATTATCAAACTTTGACAGATCTACAAAGAAGAGTGTGATCTACCCGAGCCTTCCGAAGCTGAAACTTTCTGTTTAACAATCCAAGCTTCACTTAGTCTACGAATGCTAGCCTTTTACAAATTTACAATTTTACCGCTCCGGTTCATGTATATCCCTAGATAGTTTCCATGTGGCGTTATCGAATTCGTGATGCGGAGACCACAAATTTTCCACCACGGTTAGAGTATGTTGCTTAACGCAGAGAAACGTGCATAGAGTATTCCATGGTGCTTCCGCACCTTGTTTTCAACTGTGGTAAGGCATTTTTAGTGTAGTTACGCGATATACAGTTTGATATGCATATATAAATAAATCCATGATAGTCCAAAGAACAACCGGATGCGTAAGCCCGAAGAGCAGCAAGAACCGGTCGTGTGCTTTGAGAGAAATGTTTTCCAGTTATGCATATACTATATATATATGACACTATCACACAAACTTTCACGATCTTTTTTAATTTCGGAAAGAGTTTGCTAAGTTTGAACACATATTCCTCGCTCCGATTAAAAATACGTTTCGTTTTCCACAAGTTGATTGTTGAATTTGTATGAATTGTATGAATACACCCCCACCCCCCCACGTGTTGTACTCCTCCCTGGTTATTTTCCCAGTGCTGTTAAAACATAACTTTCACTTGATGGAGTGACCTCTAAATAGAATCAGATGCAGAGGCACCCAAATAAATGTGAAAATTTTATTTCCAGAATGGTTTCAGGCACTCGTGATCAATTGCCACACAGGTTTTTTAAGTTATATCTACATCATACACATAGAAATACGAAGTTCAATTTTTTTTACTGCTCATTCTTCCGTATATCGTAACTAGGTTTTTCCATTTATTTCATGCTTCTGTCGATGCGAAAAAAGCTCCCATCGCTTCATGTAATAGCTTTCATGGTGTCTGATGATGTCTGATTTATTCTGATTTAATTTCCCTGATTCTGTAAATTTTATGTCCACAGAAATTGGGGAAAAAATAACTCAAAATTCGCCAACCCGGATGCATACTGCCAGTTCGAACGTGACTAAAAATCAAATATGCCATGGGAATGTTGAGGTGTAAAAAGTGGGGCTTGAAAAAATTCAGATCAAACATCAGTTTGTACAACCAGATCAAACATAATCAAAATAAAACAACAAAGTGGCAAAGGAACCCCTTTTGAGCGACTCCTATTTATGCGAATACATCACAATATATATCCATACTGGATAATAAAATTTTCTTGTTCTCATTCCCAAGTAGTGATATATAGAAAAATATACTGTGATGTATTGGCATCGATGCAAATAAATGAAAACGAGCGTGTTTAATAGTCTGTTGTTGTTTTTTTGGAAAGTGGAACGCGGAACTAATCAGAAAATTATCACAGTAGAATACAAATATTTTCCGAACAGGCAATAATGCAGTCCAGTCACAGGATGTCACAATAAATCAAACTGCACTCGATCACGAGGCCACCAGATATTTATCTACATTTTTGGGGTTTTATGGTTGACTACTTCCTGTGATTTTCTGTGAATTGGAGTTGCAGAACCAGGTTATTACGTGAGTGGAATGGCTAATGTAAAACAAAAGACATGAGAGAAGCTAATGGGTCTTGAACCTGAATCCTATCTGCTTGATGAAACTGACTACAGTCAGGTGTTTTAATAATGTTTCGAATTAATGTGACATGAGGGACATGGCAGTTCTCGTAACGTGACGACATGAATGCTTTGCCTTTAGTTATGACTACTTTTGTCAATGGCATGATAGACTAAATAAATCAGTTTTCTACATGATGATAATGCAAAATGGCGGCTGTTGATTGCGTAATACATGTAGCGTACATGTTAAGAGTTCTCTCGGGCTCATCAATAAACACATTATTCATCCAGCTTTCTGTTTATCCCAAATAAAATTGTTTGGCTTGAAAGGCTTGAGAAGGAATTCACCGACGACATATTTTCGTCTACATTGTGTGTTCTGAAATCATATTCTCAGTTAATCTTGTCCAAATTCCATTCACTTATGACGATGACCCCGCCTACCATGCAATTTTTTCAATCTAGGTGTTGTTATCGATGAGAACGGACATGAAACTCACAGATTTTAGTCCCATTCTGGTTTGCCATCTGTCCTGGTCTATCTGTGTTGAATTTGGTTATTTATTAATTGTAGCGATTGTTGCAGTAATACGCACTGAACTCGGGACACGAACCGCGCAATACAAATCACGGAATAGGAATGAAGAATAAACAACCACGGACTAAATCACGTAAGCACTGGATCGCACTGGCATTAGCACACAGAATGGTTCAATGCACGAATGGTGGTTAAGCCAGGTATGGATGGACTGATTTTGGCATTTAAGAAGCGAATGGGAACAAGGCAAGTTTCTGTGAAATCCACCCTCAGCGAAACCTCACCAATCAAAAGCAATTCGTGTCTGGTCACACCAAGGATACGCACAGATGTCGGACGGATTTCAACTTGGGAATGGACTGACCGACGCAATGCAGCAGCAATGATAGACTCAGTGCTTCCTGCGTCAACAAAGAATTCGAGCTTTGTACCGGACTGTAGTGTCACATCTTTGTACAGGATTCGCGTGCGTTGGCTTTCGGGTCGTAAACAGAGCACAGGGCTTGTATCATTTTCGGCTGTTGCCTGTGCTAGATTGCGATGGGGCTGTTTGCACACTCTCCGAATATGATCAGTTTTCCCGCACGCATGACACTTGACATTGTGGAAGCGGCAATTGGAGTGTAGATGGTAGGCTACGTATGACAAACACGGGTCGATACGTTTGGAATTGCCAAAGGGATCTTGTTGCGGCTTCACTTGGTTACTGGAGGTCGGTTCGATCTGGTTTCCAACCGTTCAAATAGTGCGACTGCGTCGCTGGAATTCGCTTATATTAGGTCATCATGTTGTTCGTAAATCTTGCGTGCCTCGTGAAAATTAAATACTTCTTCTCTAGCAGCTTCCGTTGAAGAGTCAGATTGTTGGTGCATGCCACTAAGTGGTCTCATTGTTGTTCTTCCAGAAGATGATCATTGTTACAGTGTGATGCTTGTGTGTTCAGCTGCAGAATAAAATGATCACAGCACGAATCAACGAATTGAATTTGACACTTTAATGTGCCTGAAACTCTGTGGGCAGCAGATTGCTGAGCAGTAACTATTTTAGGGACTCATACAGTAATTCAGCTAGAGTATAAGGAAACGGCAGATTCTTCATAACGGTATAGAGATCGCGACCGCCCGCAGTGAGGAACCGAGCTGATTGGTTTTGGGTATCATATTTACGAATGCTGCACCTCAGTTCGAATCGTTCGACCCATTCCTCGACCTCAGATGGGCTGGTCTGCAGGTTCAGTTGCTCAATGATTGGGAGCTCCATCACGAAACGCCAATTCATAGTAGTTGTAGTAATGGTAGTAATACGTACAGAACTCGGAATACCGATCAAGGATCGGCTATCACGGACTGGATCACTTAAGCGCTGGACCACACTGGCACTAGCACGCAATGTCCCACGTAACTGAGACGCGAGGAAAAGGCAACCGGAGTAGTAGTTCATTTATAGGAAGAAATAATGGGGATCAAATAATATGTACAATGTAAGTTCTGTCAATCGCCTTCCAGTATTGCTTGCGTCCTTCTGCTTCTGTCTGAGCCGCATGCTCTCTATTTGGCCGGTACAATCTACCTATGGGTGTGCAGTCCGAGGCAGTGACACGTACGCGCGTTATTGACATCATCCGTGAAGTTTGATTGATTGCGGTTCTCCAAAACCGTAACGCGTCACTCCAGGGTACGCGTCATCTCGTAGGCATTTTTCAGTGTAATAACGGGAAATAGGGAAACATATAAGTGGTCCAAATTTCCTTTCCCTTAAGCACTTTTCAAAATCAAAGTGACCTTACAAGCCAGTCTGAACGGCACGGTTTTCTGTTGATCGTATGTTTGGATCTTTTGTGATACAATCTAGCGTTTGGATTACAGCAGATGTCGAACTATTTTGTCAGTCACGTTTTGTAGATGCATATTACATTGAACAGGCATTTTATCTGACGTAGTTGTTCTTTTGTGCAGAATTCGATGAAATATCGATATGAGTAATCTAATCCGTGAGCATTTCATTATTTAATTCGGACAGAAAACGTTACTCAAATGTCAGGGCACAGAATATGCACAGAAAAACAAACTGATCTCACATTTTGTCGGTTTCGGTCGCTCAAACGACCAATATTGGAAACCCAATTTGGCCTGTTTATTCAAACTGGTCTCTAAAAACATCTTTCGTTGTTGGACTGTCATGTTTCTTGTGTACGGCCCGCCAATATCGTTTTTGGACGCGTCGGACACATGCAGATTGGGTCTCATAAGGTCCGTGTCGCGTGCCGTGAATCGTTGGTGATAGAATGTGTCATGACAGATTTGATTCAACCGTGATGCTACATCTTGCGCATGCAAAAGGGATGAATCTCTAGCTGTGTTCAATTCCAGAGAGTGATCTACCTAAAACATTACATTGACTGAAGTTGTTATCGGTGTATTTTATGCAGACAGAATTTATCTGAAGCAAAACATTTCTTCATTCAATTGCTTAGGACACTGCACAATTATGTAAATATTACACAAGGTTTTACAGAAACAAAAACAACCCATAGTCATCAACATCATCGTTACTCAAACAGAGAGATGAAAATAATGAGTGTCATCTTAGGAGGCAAACTCATTCAGAAAAATAGAAATTTCAGTTTATTTATGAGCAACCCAGTGGCTTACGAGATCTCTATTGAATGCTCATTCACTGAAGTCCACCAATCGATTGCATGACTAAAAAGAGTTCTTTGTAATCGTGATTCATTTTTCCAGTATCCAATTTATCTCTTTGATACTATGAATAGATATGCTGTGCCTAACCAAACTACCACAGAACCTGGCCCCAGGATGCGTATCTCAACAATCCCAATTAAAAGACAGTAAACAGTCCACGTCTTTATTGGTCATTCCGGCCAAATGAGGATTGAGAAAGAGAGAAACATGCAGTGTATAGGAGGATGATCACAGTCTAGTCATATGTCCAGAATCAGGGTTACGAGGGCGCCGACAGAGCAATAGCACAAACCAGGTCGCCCTTCTCTATTCGTTACCCTGACGACTACATATACAGGACCCTCGAGAAAACGCCGACACGTTCTGGCGGTGGCGGCTGATCTGAATCGATTTCAAATTCAAACTGCGAGAATTCTCAGGGGGACGCTTAAGCGTACCGTGACACTATAAAAACGTTTTTTTCTGAATCAAAGAAACCCCTTGCTGGATAATGTGGTTATTTAACGTGCTAACTTCCTGCCTGATAATTCTTTCAACCGTGAGTTTCAACTTAAATTTGTTCACTGATTTTTGATTAGCTTTTTATCCGGCCGAACTGGAGATGCTCGCTTGAGTTGGTTAGGTTGTTATTGAACACCCCTGTCGGACCATTCTTCTGACAAAAATCGGTTACCAATCCGGATTAGGTGTGAGTAGGAGATTGTACTCATTCCATTTATACAGACAAATCGACCGTGTTTGTACGTTTTTCATTAGATGCAGTCTTGTGCCTGGTAATACGCCAATCCTTGGCAGTATCTACGTCCCATTTTACCCCCAAATACTTGGTGTCAGTTTCGGCCTAAATACCCCATTCATTTGAATGATCCAATAACCAACCCTCTTCCTGCGAACCACAGACCGAACACACTTGGTAGTGGTGAACTACTTTGGCGTTTACTTCCCCCAAAAGAAAAGTTTTGCGGATTGTTGTTTGCCACCGTCCTTTGGTAAATAAACACAAACTAAATCATCACAGTTTCGGACTTCTCAGGGGGTTGGCGCAATTTGCTGCAAGCTGAACACGGGAACCCGGCTTGCTTGTGTGTGTGTGTGTGTGTGGGGGGACGGGGATGCAATGAGTACGGTCACACTGCTACACAATCTCCCCGTTTCGGTCGTGCGAAAAATGATCATTTGATTCTGTCGTATTTGCGTGACCAACGAAATATGCGGATAGTTCGTTCCTGACAACCCGATATTACGAAGTAGTGTGTAGCAAAATCCGCCTTGGCGTAAATCGTTCAACTGTAGTCTGTTGTCCAATCTTCCTTTTTATCTCAAGAAATGATACTTCCATCCTATAACACCTATCTTATTGTCGCATATGATTTGTTCGAGCTTGATTTTCAAATGTTGGACTACGAAAGAAATTTGTGCACACTTAGAACAGACTATTAGACGGATCTTCAGAAAAACGCCCAGAAGGTCTATTTCAGAGAAACCAATTATTTGGGCCCAGTGTTGGTTGACAATCAAAGAATGCGTTGTATTCATCTTTAAGCACGATAAAAGTGGAACAGAAAGACCGATAGGATAGCTATCTAAAGAGAATTATTTTTTCATACGCAATTAGATTTGTGACCAGTAGCGATCCTAAAGGAATCTCATATCGTGAGCGGTAAACCGACGACAACATGGTAAATAATTTGAATTTACTATGTTGTTAGTCTGCTAAGTGCTACTAGCTCGATTGAATTGGTACTTATTGTGGAAAACTGGATATATCTATTGATTTTTTTGGGACGGTAATGTTTACGCATAAGATACCGTGCAGTGATGAGGAATGTGCAAATAATTGCAGAACCCCTGACTGACAAGTAGGCATCGGGGTGTCCAGAACGAGGTAACTATTATTACTGTGAATACTACTACTACTATCAGTACCAGAGGCAGTAGCGGCAGCAGTAGTAGGTAGTTATTTTGAATGGTTCTAGCCGTTGTCCAGAAAGACAAGGGGTTATATTTGAGATCTAGTTTTTTGAAATTCACTACCACTGTCTTTGGTAGATAGCAATGTTGTGTTTTTCTTCAAAACACCGATAACATTAGCAGCAAACTGGGTTCACCGCCTGGAGTTCGGGGCCGAAGCTACCGGGTACCATAACCGAGCAACAATAACTTTTAAAAATCCTTCTGTTTTCACGCACTTCATGGTATAACGTATTGAAAGGATCTATACGTAGATAGCTAGATCCATGAGAAACGAAACAGTGAAGTCATTCGATCAGTTGCATGTCATTCACTATTGATGAGTGTAGAATAATTGATCATTCTCGACTAACATGTTTTTTTCGGATCCACTTTGAGTGGTAGCAATATGAGTTCCCTAAAAGCCTGATCACGCTTGATCTCGTCGGCATCGGTTTGGTTTTCCGCGGCCAGTAGCCTGTTCTACTGTAGTCTTCAATTGTTTTGCTCCAAAATTTCGAAGACATCTGCAGCTGCATCGATCATTCAATGATCAGACGTTTCTCGTACAAAATGCGTAGGTTACCGGTTGGGTCAACATTTTGGAAAGTAAAAAAACACGAAATCAATCTGTTGGTGACCAATATATTGAAAACCAGCCGCCAAGTGTTAGTCACTATGGCATATTTTCCAATACTTGATGACTGTAATACCTATAATAATGATAATAATAGTAATAATAATAATAATAATAATAATAATCTGTCTACCTAATTTCTATCAAGCGTAAGGTAGAAAGGGGTGACCGTGACCTACCCACCTCTGTGGACTGGCTAAAGTAAGGATAGCTGTTGTCGAGTTAATTTCATGATTCTTTTTTCAATGTGATCATCTTTAGAACAAATAAAATGACTTTATTCTTAAAACGTTTGGTGTCCTCTAAACGTGGCATATATCACTCTGATCGTCCATCTCCCAATGGGTGACTCAAGCAAATTGCCTATAGCAGCAGAAAGTCTTTGTACAAACGCAAGAATGATTTAAAAACCCTGATCTATCTCACACTGCAAACCAGTTTATTGGAGACTCATGCCTGGACAGACTTATTGAGGGTTATCAAAATAGATGGTGGAACATATTTCAAGATTGAGTTGACCTTTCATCTCCACAGGATTGA